ATAGATTGAGAGATTGAGAGATCGCTCGACTAAGACGTCGTCTGTAGCTGGCCTTCCTATAGAACGTGGGTGGATGATATCGCGTAATGGTGGGGCGGAAATCAATTTCGTATGCGTCTCACGGAATGCCGATATTTAATTTTGGTTTCTAGTCCTCTTCTGTAGCTCTCATACTTTCATTTTTTGATTTGCAATTATCTGCTTCTAAATATATTTCATGGCTATATGTGCTTTAAAGAATTTTATTTTAAATTTATCTAAATTTTTCGTCTTTACACTTGGTTTGCCATTGGTGAGCTTAATTTGTTTGAATCTGTTGGTTTTAAATGATACGTTTGTTTTTATTTAGGTGGCACTTTTAGGGCTATTTAAATAGTATTTTATTGATTTGTGAAACCTTTTTCAAAATTTTATTTTGAAAATAAAAGCTTCCAATCAAATCATAATTGACTATTGCACAAGTTCACAGTAGCGTAATCAGAAAATTTAGTACACAATTTGAAAATATTTACAGTCAACAAATCCTTGTTCTTGCTAGCATTTTTTGAATATTCCGATAGATTAAACAAAAGTTCTTGACTGCTCACCACATTCTGGTCAGTAAAATGCCTCATCAACAAATTTTTTATTCAATTTCAGCAGCACCACTACGGAGCAAATAGTCTCCAATTAAATAAATTATCCGCTATTTTTATCAAGCATCATCAAAATTTCAACAACAACGAATGTTGCTGGTGTGCTTTGTTGTGTAGAATGTTGCTTAATGGAAATTACTTAATGTAATCAATACAAAGTTATGAATATCGGTGAGCAATCGATAATGAGCACTTACATTTAGTTGATAGCTACAATAAATTAATAATTATAAATGATTACATACATCATATGCATAGGTATGTTATATGTGATACATACAATTCTTGTCTTTCATTACAATTTCCACACTTTTTTTATTTAGGACGCAAATTTCTGACATGATTTGGCATCCAGAACCAAACATGCAGACGCAAACTTCCAAACGATTCAACCATTATACCAGCGCCGAACTTTATTTATTATTTTTGTTTATTTTTTATTATTATATAAAGAAAAATTGAAGATGAATTACGATAGAGTTAACGTTTTTTTTTACAAGATATTTTTGTTAATTTTTAGAATTTAAAGTTTAGAAATGACAAACATGGAGAAAAATGATATTAGGAGATAAGGAAAAGCGTAGAAAATAGCTGAAAATTGCAAAGACTCTGTTATCTATTATTCTATTATATTAAAATTAATTTTGAACAAAAAAAAGAAAAAAAATTAGGAAATTAAGAGAATTTACATACATACATACATACATACATACATACATACATACATACATACATACATACATACATACGTACGTACGTACATACATACATGCGTGCATGCATGCATGCATGCATACATACATTCATTCATACATACATACATACATACATTCATACATACATACATACATACATACATACATACATACATACATACATACATACATACATACATACATACATACATACATACATACATACATCATAATAAGCAGCAGAATATCAGTGCTAAACTAACAACTTTATTATTTTCTTGTTCTTCGCACATAACACATTTTTTTGTTTGCGATATATTTTAAGGTGAAAGCTTAATAAGGTATTCGAAAACATATGAAGTTAATTAGCAGTTAGTTCTTGGTGCCGTGTTAGAGTCTTCATACATCATTTCGCGAGTTTTAATGCCTTTCAAATTGCAACTTTTAAAAATTCCTACACTTTCTTTTTTTCTTTGTCATTTGAACAAACCTAAAAACAAAATTCTTATAGTTACAGTGGTAAATTTTTGAATTTGTACAAAAATATAAAATATATGCAGAAATATAATGTATTTTACGTGAAAAAATAATTTCTGTAACTTGGTTTTTAGATTCTATACATATTCAAACATGTGGATTAAATTTGCACTTTGGTAGTTTTAAATTAAATTTTGATGTTTGGTTCGAGTTCGAAATCAAGCAAGCTCTCTATGAAGAAAAAACATCAAGATTAGGGTGTTGTCTATATCAGGCATCATAAAAAAACATTAAAATAACGTTCAGCGTTTTTGAGTAGACCTCCTTCAATAACCTTGGCCCATGTCTTTATAACGTGCCGCCTGAATTAATGTGATAGTTTACATTAGAAATTATAATTAAAATTAAGTGACAAGTCAATCGATTTGCTCCGGTCAATCTAGAACCGAGCTGCAAAACTTGTAATCAAAAAAATGAAATTCGATCAAGTAACTCGGGTCTTGAATGAACCTCACTAGTTAAGTGTTGGGAAAAAACTCATTTTTGAAATTGCGTTAAGGTTTTGTTCATTACATATCTCTTCAATGTTTTAGGAGCAAGTTCATTCAAAAAACTGTGGCATCGGACATCAGCGTTAGATCAGTTAATATGAATCTGTTGGTTGTGCTTGAAACAAATTTGCAGATTGGATTACGCGATGTTTCTGGTCCTGCCTTCTAGAACAGTCTACCAGTTCCAATAAGAAAATCTGGTCTCTTATTTATTATGCTTATGTTCCAGCGTTTTCTACATTATCTTATTTAAAACTTATTTTTCAATTCTTCCTACAATGATTTTATGCTCATTTTCAAGTTTATCATGTTCATAAACAAATTTTTCTCAAATTTTATGTATGGTCTAATGTACATAACAAGTTTCCTTTTCTTTATTCAGTTAGTTGATAAATACTCTCAAATCGTTTTTCTTGCTGTTGGTAGCTGAAGTAGTTTTTTCAATGAACAAAGATATTGCTATTTGTAGCAGGTTTTTGTTATTGTTGCGATACTGTATATCCTGAGCTTTCTGGTAAATGTTTTAGTAGTTAAACTTATATCATATGATGCCCCTAACTAGGTTGATTCTGGGATGTATCTACCCAATCTCGAGAACGTTTGTTTAACTAGTTGTATAACTTAATAGATGAATTTTATGCGTTAAATAATCAAATTATGTGATGTTCATTTTTGAATTGGAATAAAATATAATTACATTCATTGGCATCAACCATTTTTCTGCACACAGGCCGAAATGAAACCAGACCAGTTTATTCTCAACCATCCAACAGAAGTTTGTTCATATTGTCAAAATAGAAATTTATATAATGAAAAATGTTTGTACTGAGCAAAATAAGAATTATTTACTGATACTTTTAATAATAAACATTTTTAACAGACATCAAGTTGTACACCAAGTCACCAAAAGTTTATTACAAGCAGCCCATAGTTTCAATCGGTCCGATGAACTCGACGGTGCTTCAAGGAGCATCCGTCACTTTAGTCTGCGAAGTTATCAGTTACCTTCATTTCACCGTCAAATGGCACAGAAAGTTGAAAGATGCTGCAGAAGAAATCAAAAGTTCCAAGAGTTTCCAAATCATAGTATTCATTTTAATTTAAAATAATTTCTTGATAATCCGTTTTTAATAAAAAATTTGCCTATTCGCCGAAGATTTCAAACATGGACATGAATGGTAAAAAACAAAAAGAAAACTTCAGCCAATTAAAGATGACAAATCTGCAAATCAACGATACAGGGGAATACATGTGCACAGCTCTCAATTCCTTTGGAGCTGCTACAAAATCCACATGGCTGATCGTTGCAGAAAGTACACAAAATTCATTTTATATTTGAAAACATTTTAAATTTATTTTACAAATAAATATAAATTAAAAAAATTTTATAATAAATATTCTATTAACAATTTTTTATAAAAATTTTAAATCTTATAAGTGCTATATTGAAGTGCTTGTCGTAATGGTTAGGGTCGCATGGTGCTGTTTCGCAGTGCGTGCAATGACCTGGTTCGAATATGACAAGAAGATCCCCGTTGCTATCACATTCTTTGTGTGTGAGGCGTCGTTTGGCACGTATCATTATGTGTTGTTTGTGTGTTGTTATTCCTCTGAGCCTAGGAAAATGTAGCAGACTTTTTGACGGTAAATACGATGGAATCTTGTGAACGTTTGTGTACTTATTACTTAGGCGCCTAGTTTAATGGATGAGTTTCATGTGTTAAATAATCAAATACGCGATGTTCATTTTTGAATTGAAATAAAATATAATTACATAATTGGCATAAACAATTTTTCTGTAAACAAGCCGAAATGAAACCAAACCAGTTTATTCTCAACCATCCAACAGAAATCTTTTCATATAGTCAAAAAATAAATTTTTATAATGAAAAATCTATGTGCAGAACAAAACGAAAACTGTTTACTGGGGTTTTCTTATAATAAACATCTTTAACAGACCTCAAGTTGGGCACCAAGCTACCAAAAATGTATTGCGAGCCTTGTAATAAACTTTTAAACTATTTTTTTAACCTCAGTGGGTTGTACTTCCTCCTAAATACTTGTTTAATTTTTTGATGTAACGATGCAATTTCAGATCGTTTATTTAATTTAATTTTGTTTCTAATTTAATAGATAGTTTTTAATGCAACAAATAAATATAGAACATTGGTATTTGACTGGACCAATATATAATTACATCATTAATATAAATATCTCGAACGCAGGTCAAAATGAAACCGAACTAGTCTTTTCTCAACTTACTAAGAAAAACATTTTTTCAGAAGAAAATGCATGGGAAAGTTTTTATATTGTTATTCTCTGCATTGGAGTGCTCGCCGTTCTCATGGTTTTAGGGGCAATATTATCCGTCGTAGCGGTAAAAAAGTTTAAGGTAGTAAATTTAAGAAAGCAGTTTTTGAAATTTTAACAAACGTTGTAACTTTCTCAATGTTAAGATTCCTAAACTTGAGCCTGTCAGGAAACGAGTCATCATTAAGAACACGCTGTACAGTGCAGACAGCTACGCCCAGAAATTGAACAATCAATCCACTCGTAACAAAGTACCCTTCCTTCCTTTGATCAAACTTGAAGAAATTTGCAAATCAAAAAGTTTGTTCAACAGTTATTCCAACATTCGCCAGACAGAATATGAATTTCCAGTGGATAACGTATGGGAATTTCCACGAGACAGGTGGTTAAATACGTTTAAACTGCAACTTTTATCTGTTAGAAGTTGTTTTTACTAATAAATTAATAAAACTCAATGTTCAATCAATTTATTTTATTAGGATATCATAAAAATTCATAAAAACAAAACACCTGTTCAGATTACATCTCAAAGAGATTTTGGGTGAAGGAGCGTTTGGTATAGTGGCGAGAGCAGAAGCTCTTGATATCAATGGATGTCCAGGCAAATCTACCGTTGCTGTCAAAATGATTAAAAGTTAGATAGCCTAATGTTTAATACGAGTTAATTAATTGAATCACCTTTTTACACGAAACATTCTCAAAAACTTGAAGGTGGTGCCAGCGACGCAGATTTGTTGAATCTCGTCCAGGAAATGACGTTGATGAAAATGATGGGAAAACATGAAAATGTACTCAGTCTACTCGGATGTTGTACTCAAAATGGTACGACCAAATTGACAATTTCTTCATTGCAATCATATTTCTAAACAGAGTGTCTTCTTATAAACATGATCTCGAAAAATATTTTTAGAATGAAAAACTTTTGGTGAGCAAAAAATTTCTCATTGTACGAACAATCATAAGCATCTATAACACTATATTCTGTCAACACTCGACACTGCGATAATTATAATTTAAATTTTTGATTTCAAAATCAAATTTTATCGATTGAATTAATCTATGAAAATATTGTACCAAATTAAACTGAATCGAGATAAATTTGAACGAATGTATTGTAATTTAATTTATATGATATAATTAATTGTTTTTTTGTTTTTAATCTTGAGTTTTTATTCTCATCCGTTTTCGATCTTTCTCAAAGCCTCTTTTAACGCAATGTTCATCGTGCTGATGAGTCCTCTTTGCCGTTTTACATCCTTGATTCCCAAGTTCCCATCCATTTGTAGTAGTCAGTTTATTGCCATCCTTCCTTTGTACTCAACTCCCCTATTTTAATCTGTTTGTTTTGTTTAAAATTATATTTTCCATATCCGTTAGTTGTGATGGTTAGTTGGTTTAATACGTTCAATTCAAATCAGTTTAATTTGCAGTCACTTCAATTCGTTATAGTTCAATTCGATCCCATGAATCAACATTTAATGGTTATAGGAGCAGTAGTCATAATAATTGCTCAAGATTTAGTTCATCAGCATTATTCATTCTAGCAAACATAAATTATGATTTAGCAAAAAGATGACATATGTATATCTTAAAGGGAAGTATCAACTTGGTTCTTATTATATCTCTGGGATGGTCTATTTGCTTCCATGTTATCTCTGGACAAACATCTTTACTATTGTTAAAATAGCTCTGCTAATCTACGCCTATATCGGTTAATCGATCAATAAACCAACCAGCCTACCTACTTACTTAACTACCTAAATTGAAATATGAATGTGTAGTTAAAGGGTTCATTAAAAGAGGAAGTAAATTTTTCAACTTCTTTAGAACCATGACATAACATTTCATCACCACCGATATTCGCGGTGTATTAAGAAATGAAACTTTTTAATTTTTGCTTTTAAAAATTCAAAATGTGTGTCTCAAATGCATCTATGTATATAAATGACTCAAAATATCTTATATAAATTTAGAATCTTTTGTCCATAACGAACGTTTGGAACTGATGAGCACGTATTTGCTTTTGATATTTTTTACATTGAAAAAATGTCTTATTATAAATTGTCTTTAATATTATTGCAGACTCTACGTTTGACAGTTCTGCCGTACGTAAACAAATTGTTAGGTAGGGGCAAAATATTATTAACTAAACTAGATTACTTAGACATTTAAAATCCATGTGACCTGACACTTTAAATATTTAATTTAATTAAAATATTTTCTTGTTTATTTAGGACCCAAATTACTTTCAAATGATTTAAAAACGCACACACACGACAATGCCCACAGAACAATGCACGCCCTTAGCATGAATGCCCACAATACACATCCATAGTGTATATCCAACCTTCACACTAAGTTAAATTATGGCATAACTTTCTGTGAACGTTTTTATGTTATTTATTTGCTGGGTACCTAAATTTCTATTTCTATAAGGGAAGTGTTTAGCCGTATAAATGAAAATGTGAAAATGATATGTGAATCTTTTAGTTAATTTTTCAACCTTTGAGGCTCTGATGATGTTGAAATCAAATTTTATGCACTGAAAATGAATAATTTTTGAACCATTTAAACTAGGACCCTTGTATGTGATAGTAGAATTTGCGTTGCACGGAAATTTACGAGATTTCTTAAGAAAACATCGACCAAAGTTTATTTGCTATGACGAGGTAAATGGAAAAAAGTTTTCAGATACGCATCTAAGCTTCAGCGATCTCCTTTTATACTCTCTACAAGTCTGCGAAGGAGCTAATTATTTGGCTTCAAAACAGGTGCTATTATTTAATCTGAATATTTTGATTAAATGAAAAAAGTTCTAATAATTTTTTTAATGCTCTACGATTTAGTGCATTCACAGAGACTTGGCTGCTAGAAATGTATTAGTGTGTCACAATAACATTTTAAAAGTTGCTGATTTTGGTTTAACAAGGAATATGAATAGCAGTGATTATTACAAGAAAACAACGGATGTTAGTATCAATGTGCATTTATTTACATTCATGCGACTCTCATTTATGTTTTTGTATGTTATTACTTTGTCGGCAATTGAAGACTTTCGTCGTTTTTCGTTCCAAGTCAGACAAAGAATTAAACGGCAAATAAAAGTTACATTAAAAATATTTTTAATAACAAATCTTTAATGTGCTAACGTTTAGCTAAATTAATTTTTTAAAACTTTGCCTAAAATTGAAAGCTTCTGTGCTAAAAGCGTTTAAGTGAAAAGTTATGATACATCACATGAAATTAGTTTAAGTCGACCGATATTATTCTTTCAAAATTTTGTCGGTTATCATGAAAAAAAAATTTACGCTGAAACTTGATGAACAAAATTTGTATTAAAATTGCACGTGATGAGAGGAAAACCGTGCTAAAATATTGAGTCTCGTTGTTTCAGATAATTTGTCGTAGACTGAACATATTGATTAACTCACGTCTCGGATTAGCAAAACACTAGAATTGTATTACTAAATTAGGCATAAGCTTAATATTCCTACTTTTTTACAATTTTACTACGCTTTTATTTTCCATCATCTTTCTTATTGTAATATTAGTTAAGGCCACTCTCCAAAAATCCATATTTTAAAATTATTTAAGTTGCAAAAAAATTCATCAAACTTATATTGTATCTTAAACAAACTGACCGTGTTGATGATTACTTTTTTCTTTAAATATATTAACCATATTTTAATTATTTATTTTAAATGCATCTCTTTTTGTGTATACATTTATGAATAACCGATTGCCTTCTAACTTTTCTAATTTTTTAATACACAAATGATTTATTTTTTATAAATGATTTTTTTAATACATACATGATTGTTTCAACTTTACCCGACATTTTATTCCTTCCATTATTCCCTTTAGCAGATTAAAAATTCTAAATGATAGCATTTTTATTATGGCGCTTAAAATTTGGTTTAAAATTCTGCCACAATCTATCACTTCTCTCCCAAAACCGGGTTGTTTCAAACATCATTGTAAAACTTTTCTTCTATCTTGTAAACATGATATCATTATTTAGGTATGTTCTTTTATCATGCATATATGTGGGTTATATATATCTTATATCAATATATATATATATATATATATATATATATTGATATAAAATTAGGTATGTATAAATGTATGTGTGTGTGTGTGTGTGTGTGTGTGTGCATGTGTGTATAAATGTGTTTATACGTAAACATGTGTAAGCTCGTGTTTGTTTGTGACACGTTCATTGAATTTCAGTCTTTCATACTTTGACAGTAACTAATTTTTATTGGTTTGTTGTTGAACTACGTGTCAATGTTTTTATACTGTTTCAATCCATTATATTGTCATTATTTTTTGTAGCCTGTACGCAAGTTTAATTTTAAATTCTGTTTATATTTAAGTACTATTTCTCTTTATTTTAAATGTAATTGTTCTGTTTAACGTGGTCTATCATAAGATTTTTCTTTTTTTGATCTCCGTATTATTTTCATTTCTTACGTTTGCTTGATTTGAATTGATGAATAAATAAATATTGAATATTGAATGACACGCTGCACAGTTACACTCCCCGGTTCTTACTTCTTACAAGTAACCCAGGTTCCAACCTTTCTTGTGAATGTCAAACTGATTACTGTTCTAAACTCACAACGCGAAATTTTTGATATGAATGAATTTTATTTGATAAAAGTTTTGTCATTCATTATGTAAAAGTTCGTTGACACAATATTAGCCCGATGTTCAAAGATGTCCAATGCAGTCTAATATTGTCCACTATAGTCTAATGAAATTTAATGGAGTCCAACGGAACTTATTATAGTTCATCGTTATTTTTATGTTAAACCTTTCAATCTATTTTGAAATTGTTTTCAGTAAAAAATTAACTTTAAAACATACATTGTCCAGGGTAGGCTAAAAATGAAAAACCTATTTTGAAATTGTTTTCAGTTAAAAATTAACTTTAAAACATGCATTGTCCAGGGTAGGCTGCCGGTGAAGTGGATGGCTCCAGAAGCATTGTTTGATCGGAAATATACCACCAAAAGTGATGTGTAAGTTCAAACTTTTTACAAAATTTGAATAGATCACTTTATTTTTTCTGCTTCAAAAATAGCTTAACCTATTTCGGATGGTTTATCTATTTCAATTGTCATTAAAGTTGAATACGCAAGTAAGTTAACAATATTAAATGAAATTTTTGTAGTTGGTCATTTGGCATACTGCTGTGGGAAATATTCACTTTGGGTGGTAACCCTTACCCTTCAGTGCCTATTGAAAATTTATTCAGTTTGCTTAAAGGTGGCTACAGGATGGAGAAACCTCCTTATGCTTCAGATGAATTGTACGTTTGTACTTGTATAATATTTAAAAATATTTTGGCATAAATAAGATAATATTTTATAACAAGTTTAGTTTCGGCATTATTAGCAACTGATACAAACAAACATTATCGAAAATTCAATTAGAAAAACGTCCCTTACAACTCTTTATCTTATCGTATGCAAAAGTGAACAACGCTGAAATTGTAAAATAATGAAAAAAAAGCGCCAGTGAGCATTAATGAAATGGCGCTAAACAAATTTTTATGTTTTTTGCATCACAAGATGGAAGCGCTTTTACATTATTCTATTTCGTGTGCACTTTTATATTTATTTAAAGCAATGTTGAAAATTTTGTTGAATATCATTTGCAAGGTACCAGATAATGTTAGAATGTTGGACTAATGAACCCGCCTTGAGACCTAATTTCAGCTCTTTACTGCAATCTATTCAAACTTTGATGTGCGGTTCAAACTTAGAAGTTAGTGTCAAACATTTCGTTCAACCTTCTTTAAAATGCTTTTGTCCAATTCGCTTTTAATACATCTTTAGAAAAACTTGCAGACATCTTGCAAATTATGCACATAATAAAAGTGCTTTTCATAAGCAAATTGAAACAAAGGAAGGGAAACTTTCTGTGAACAATCATACAATTCCATTCTGTATGGTAAGAAAGCGAATCTGATGACAATGAAAAGTCGAAGACTACAAAAAGAGTTTTGAAAAAGTTTAACGCTGTCATAATTTTTAAAACGTGGATATAGTATATATATTAGCAATAGTTTGACGTTAATGACTAAGTCATAACTACAAAGTGCTTAGAATATTAACAAATAAACAACTAAACATATACCCGTCAATGAAAAGAGAAAGTATTTAGAATAATTAGGATAAAAAAGTGCAATGTACCAAAACCAGTAAAATGATGTTTATGATCTCCATTATCATCAGCACTATTAAAATTTAAAAATAAATAAACATTAAAATACTTTTTCAAAGTTCTTTACAGAAACTCCCCTGGAAAGTCCGATTAGTTCAGCGCCGGCAGACAGCCTATATTCGTCAATGACGATCTTCAGTAACCTCAGCCCCACCAGCAGTGTCGTCGTCAACAAAAATTACTCAACCTACAATCCAGATGCAACAGCAAAAGATCACGTTTTAAGAAAAGATGACGACGAAAACAACAAAGAGAAATATATGGCGGGAAGTCAACTCGCTATTAGCTACTTAACCAACGATATGGAAACTGATATTTAAAACTTCATAGATGGCCAACAAAACATTGATTCTTTTGACACTTTTTAATATTGTTCAAATAGATAATATGCATAAATACAATATTTTCAATGATTTACATTTTATAAAATGTTCAAAAAGTAATAAATGATATTTAAAAGTAGAACTCAAGAAAGACATATAGTTATATATATATATATATATATATATATATATATATATATATATAAAACATAGTAATTGTATACGTATATTTAAACATGATAAATGACTAGATTGTGACTAGATAGAACAAATGTTAATTATGAGTTTTACATTTTACTATTTAATTTTTTTTATAAAGAAATGAACGTGTAAAATGAAGGAAATACACAACGCACTGATTACGAACACGTAACACGTAAAATTGAATGACTACAACAGTACGATCATTATTAATCCTTCGTCAACAGATTAATTAGACTAAAAGTGAACAAGAGCTTGATATCAAAGCTTATTCATTGTTAACGTCAAACAATTCTATCACATGATGACGCTGGAAGTCAACATGTGCTGATGACGGAGACACGCAGAAAAGCAAATGATAAGAATATTGAAACTTCAAATTGAAGAAAGAATGTGCTAAAGGATATGAATAAATCTACAAAGAATGAGTCAATCAGTATTTGAATGCTACCAACAAACACTGATCAGAATAGGCATACACCACATTACAGTCGATCTATCAAACAGAAAAAATTCGCTACAAATCTATAAAAACTTCGTCGTGGTTGAATGTAAAAATGAAATAAATAAATGAAAGCAGAGAGGGCTAATATGCAGTTGAACTACCAAACAATTTGAAAAACAGATAATCGCACACCAAGGAGAGATAACAATAGAATGAATAGAATGGAATGAGTTGTTTAGTTAATTTGCAATCGAAGTGGCCAAATTATGAATTACAAAAATAAATAAACGAGATACACTCATCTGCAAACCTACCATTTATGAGAATTGAAAAATTAATCGAGGTACGTTTTCTTTTCGGTCAGCTCAATGTTTTCAAATGGAGCTTTGCCTGACGCCGCCGGCTGAGGTTGAGAAATAATTGGTTCGTGTTCTTGAGATCCATCCTGGCTGTCCAAATCATCCTGGGTTACGAAAAAAATATGAGTTTAACCATCATCACTTGCAAGCAATGAACGAACGTGCGAGACGTCACGTAAATTGGACGGGAGGTCTGAGATACTTACGTGGAGGTTGCCGTACTGACCGCTGTTGTCAACGTTTCTAGGTCGACATTTGCCGCAGCAGAAATTGAAACAACAACAGAAGCAGCAGCACAAATAGCATCCTGTCAACAGTCCACAAGCCAGGAATAAAACCTATGTAAAAATATTACAAGCGGCTGATAATTATGAATATAAATATTTTACAACAACGATTTGTTAACATATCATGTACATCTGTAAGAATCACTTAAACATGTATTTTGATAAATATAAAATGTTGATAAAATGCTTGTCTTCATTCTTTCTTCCTTGATCAATTTTTATGTTTTAATCATTAGATAGATGCATAACGCTGAACGATAAGCAGCCAGTGCAGCTGTTAACGTTCTTTCTACTACTTTCTACAAACACTCAGTAAAATCAAAGCAGTTTCACAGCAGGTTCCTTCAAATTCAATGATGAATCTCATTTACAACTGAAAATTGCACTGTTACAAGCTGCTAATATTAAATAATTCATAAAACCTTGTGAAATGTATTTATGTTGACTAATCGTTGAGACAGAAAGATGTCACCCCTTTAATGTAGATAAGAAAAAATAATAGACATCAGACAACAAATCTTAATCAAATCAACGATTATTACGACATAGCAATTTGCTGGCAGCTTAGGTTTGCACAAATTTTGGATTTTCTTTAACTGGCATGAAATTTCTCTTAAGATATGAAAGTAAATTGAAAGTTTCAGACATGTTTTGACTGCAATGATTCAAAAATTGTATTCAAAATTTCGTTTCACATAACTCAGCAGCATTTTTTCATAACAAGATCCTAACGGTTTTAAAACTTTTGACAAGCCCAAATTAAAATAAGATAAAGAAAATATAATTATTTTCTTCATCTTATTTTAGTTAGACAGTGCAAAAAGGTTGAACACAACAACATTTCTCAAAACAGTTTCAAATTAAACACGCTCAAAGTAGGCAATCGAGATTGGCAGAAAATTTTTAAAGGAACAAAAATAAGTGAATTAGAAAACTTTCCTTACCTTGCACCACGGACTTGTTAGAACAAAATATGTGTTGACGTTCTCCTCGCCAAACTGTTCAGCGACGTAGAGTCCGATTGAGCCGTACCTATCATAGATGCCTCGTTTCGTTGGATCGCTGAGCACCCGGTTGGCTTGGTTCACTTCTTGAAACTAACCACGTTTTTATTTTTGTGAAACAACAACAATGCTTTTATGTAAAAGAAAGAATATGTCATTGCCGTTATGATGCTGCTGTGTTACACAACTTAAGAATAAATGTCTCTATATAGAAAGTTTTGCTACGCTCTTTAGTTCATATGGAATTATAAAATGAAATATGTTATTTTATAAATTTAAAGAAATTGTTGAAAACTAAATAGTTTGTTATGCAACGAGCAATTTAAAATACAAATGTCAAAATAATATGAAAATGATTTTAAGTCCATCTAAATTCCATTAATCGTGTTCAATCATTCACAATTAGTTTAACTTTTGTTGGGTAGCAACAAAAATGATGATTAAATTGGTTTAATTAATGAACAAACTTTTGCTGTGGCCTCAGGGTTATGTGGATTTTTATCTGGATGATAAAGGAGGGCCAACTGAAATTTTTAAAAACTTAACTTTGAAAGAAGGAAAATTATGAAGAGTTTGAAATGAATTGAGTCATCAGAATAGAAAGAACCTTTCTATAAGCCTTCTTGATTTCATCATGCGAACAGCCTTTATTCACACCCAGCACCGCATACAGGCTGCTGCCCGAAGCCCTAAATGATCATAATTACAAGCGGAAAATAAAATAATGCAGTCTAAGAAACTAATAAAACCCAAAATGCATTCATTACTGCAAATCATGATTCTTGTGACAGTATGAAAACGATGATAACAAATTTATAAATATTTCCGTTATAATATTGACTGAAAAAAAGATTTTACATAAAAAAGATTTAAAAAATTATCTAAAAATTCAAACTGTTAAATATATAATTACAGAAAAAATTAAAGCACCCATTAAAAATTAATTATCATTAACACAAAAATTGAACTGTGGTAAATTTGTGATTACACCAAACTTTGTAAGAATGGGTCTTAAAATTAATAATAAAAATGTCATTTAAATTGAAAAGTGATGCTCACGATAAAGTGCGAGTCCGTTGATAACTCATCAGAACTAATCAAAATGGAAATATAATCGAGATCTTCGGGTTCTAAATAAAAAAACAATCCAGATATATAATAAAATTAATTACTCATTTAAATTAGAGTAGCTTAAATGTTAAAGATTATAGAAGTATAAAATTTAACTAAATGAACTATAAAAATAGGAGTACAAAATAAATTTAAACATTATTTATCTTGAACTTGATCCTTTGCTGTTTCGTGAGAAAACTAATAGATGATAGAAAAAACTTCAGCAACTTTTCAACCCACTTTACTAATGAAATAAAAGCTTTTCAATTTGAAGCATTTCAGAAAAAATATGCCAAAAGTTCTATTGTAGTGGCCTGCTGATGGTGCTGTAGAGTTACCTTTTCCAGAATAAAAGTTCGTTCTAAGACTCATGTTTGGCTTTATGTAGGGGGCAATAGCAAGACGCTAAACACGTAGACTTAAGAAAATCTATCAATAAATAATTAAATAGAGATTCTGATCTTCGCTGTTAGATAGAACACAGATGATGTTTAATCTAAGCATAAATTGCTTGTAAATGAAGAAAAAAATCATTTTCGGTCAATCATTACAGCAGAATGGAAAAATCCCAAAAAGAAATAGAACGTCAATTTGGGTTTAGAAGTGGCTTATCTACAGAAGATGCCCTTCTTAAGTTTGTAAATGATATTAATTCATATCTAAATAATTCATCGTTGGCTCTCGCTGTCTTTGTCGATTTCTCAAAAGCCTTTGACTCAGTCGATCATCATCTATTGATTGATAAGGTCATAGACTATGGTTTCTATAGTAATTTATCAGTTTTGTTGAAATCATATTTGGATTCCAGATATCAGTATGTCGATATTGCTGGAACTAATTCAAAAACAACTCTGGTTACAAGAGGTGTGCCGCAAGGTTGTTCAAAGTCATTTGTTTTACTGCAATCTTATTTGGGGAAATGCAAATAAAACTTGTATACAGGAACTATTCGTTTGCCAAAAAAAATGTGTTAAAGCACTTTTTTATTCTAAAAGACCAAATGACATCCGTGATAATTGTCTGATAAATCGGCTTCTTTCTGTGTATGAAATAAATTGCTATAAGGCCTGCTGTTTCTTATTTAAAGTGATAAAGGGAATATCAACTAAGGGTGATATCGCATCGATTGTCTTAAATTCAATCCAGGTTCCAAGATCTACTAGAGTCATTAGTGAAGTCTCATTCAGGACATTAGTAGCTACTAACAAGCGAAGTTCCAGAATATTCTGTTTTTATGCGCCAAAATTATGGAATGATCTTCCCAATTATTTAAAAAAAATTGACACTTTTAATAAGTTTATAAAACAATTGAAGGTTTTTTTTTGTTGTTTCTCATGATTTCATTTATTTTTCTTATTATTAATTAATTTTCCTTTTCTAATTTCGGGTTGACATTATTATTTTTCACGGTTTCTTATTTAATCTAATTAATTGTTCAATTTTCAATTTTTGTTTCCAATATGACTGACATTATACTTTGGGCTATCATCTTATATCAAAACGTCGTATGGAAGTTAGTGGACAAAAAGCCATCCATAAGTAATGTAGCAACACCTATTACAGTTAGCGATTTTCACAGTATTTGACGTTGAAATCGGATGTAAATTTTGAGAAAAATAGTTTACCTGGACTCAAAGCAACAGATAGTTGCTTCCATATAAATATATACAAATATAAATTTGTGTGCCAAGCAGAATTCAATTTTAACTATCTCTGATTGTGGGGGATTGCAGCAGCTTATTTAAGAAAAATTTATTCTTGTGCCCGTATAACTCAAGTTCAATTGAGGTTCTTCGTCAATGCAGTCTTATGCTTCCGCTGTTTATATTCTTGCGCTGTTTAAATTTTCTGATTTTGGTAAGAGAAAGTTTTCTGTATCTTCTGGTCAGGTTTGAAATGATCTTCTGTCAAACTAAGGAGTTACTGCAAGATTGGTCATGATGAATTCAAGAAGCATCTTAAGCACCACCATTTCAATAACTCAAGAGTCATGATACCACTCAGATTGCTAACAAGAGACGCTCTATAAATTTGAAATATAAATTACTATAGAACTCAGAACATGACGAACATATATTTCTGTTGATTATGGTTTTACTAAAACTTTTTGAGCAATCTTTCAACATCACTGATTCTTGTCTAACTTGGTTTTTGTCTTATTTTTATAATCGTTACTCATGTGTTGTTTAAGGAAATTATTCTTCTATTTCCTCCTCTGTCCCTTACGGCTTTTCCCTCATCCATATATTTAAATTTTTATCTCAGAATTATCTTATACAATTAAATCTTTTTCTCTCCTCAGTCAACTTTATGCTGATGATTCTAGTATATATACATATATTTTCAAATTTCCTGAATTAATTTGAATCAAGTTATTAATAGTCGAACATTAAATATTTAATAGAATTTATAACTATGTTTGAAATGCATAAATAAATGGACTTTTGGTTGATTTTTAAATTAATTGTTACTAATTACGTTTATCCCAATATCCCATGAGGTAGGCGCATGACCTCAATACCTGGCCTCTCAAAGAAAATAACAAACCTGATAGAGCATTGCGACAAATCCAGACTCTCGGATCTCTCCTCCAACAATATCGCCACACATCCATCAAAGATACAACAACAAATCAACAACTTGAAACTCGCCCGCTGGAAAGGCTACCTCAGCACCTTCAACTGCTCTGGTCCACCATTAGAACCTTAAATGGTTTCTTATAAGCCCAAGTAACCTCCATTCAATGCCATCAACTTCAACAACAAACCCATCACTAACAACTTTCATTTGGCGAACCTTTTTATTAACAAAGCGTTCATTTCTTTCGGAAACCATACATCAAACAAACTGGATAGAATCCCCACCCGAACAGCCAAAAATCGAAGTTTTGATGGTCATCCTATCCTCACAATAGACCAGGTTTTCTTTGCAATAAAACAGTCAAGGTCATCCAAGCAATAGGACCAGACAATCTCACAATTTTCCATCTCAAACACCTAGGCCAACTAGGCTTGGCGTTCTTGACCAGGATTTTCAAAGAATTGATGCGAACATGTAGAATCCCGAACATCTACAAGAAAACAAGAATCATCCAATTCTCAAGCCAGGAAAACTTGACGATGATGCCCAATTCATCAGGCCTATCTCATTACTTTGTCCTGCCATCAAGGTTCTAAAAAAACGCCTCCCCCAACTATTTCGGAACACTTGGCTTTGGCCAATTATCAACATGGTTTCCGCCCAAGGCACTCAACAACTGCTCTAACCCTCCTAACCACAAATGTAGCAAACGACCTAAATCAAAAAAAAGCCCTTCTATCACACAATTCTGACGGCATTGGACCTGTCAAAGGACTTCGGCACCATCAGCCATCGAATGCTACTTTGCGATCTCTTCAGCTCCTCTCTACCAAAGTCAATCACGCGTTTGTTGTCCAATAATTTACACGATCACATAGCTACAACGAAATTTCGTCATCAAATCACAAAACAGCGTAAAAATCAGACGGGAGTACAACAAGGTTCGGCGCAGTCATCAACATTATTCAACTATTATGTTTCACAAGCCCCAGAACCACCTCCACATATTAAAATCATAACATATGCCGACAACTTCTCCGTGTACATGACTGGACCAGATGTGAACATCTTAACAAGACGTCTCAACCAGTACCTACCAAATCTAATATATTTCTTCAAACGAAACCTCAAAACTCCCACATCTAAATCAACTGTTACTCTATTTACTCCCCACACCTTGCAGTTCCACTACCACCACAAGTAGAAATAAACAATCAGCTTCCACCACTGGAACACAACCCAAAAATCCTTGGTTTAACATACAACACGATGCTCAAATTCGCACAATACACAAGGAAAATAGCATCAAAGGTCTCCAAAACAGACATCCTAAAAGCCATGAGTGATACCACTTTCGGGCACGATAAAGAAACATTGATCCAAATATATAAAGCAAATGGCTGCTCAGTAGCAGAATATGCCTGCCCCGCTTGGTTATCACTGATGTCGGACTCCAACCTCAATCATCTTCAACGTTCTCAGAATGCCGCACTTCGCGTGATTACTGGGTGCCACAGCACAGTTGCGGAACAACATCTGCTATCGGAGTGTCAGATGCTTTCGGTGAGAGATCACACAGCCCTCCTCCCTCGCAGTTCCTACTACAATCGTACAGTCCATCCTACCCATGCAAAGCAGAACCCTCCACCCCGCACCATAAAAAACACCCTAATATCCAAATGGTCACCAACAGTGCGGTCGGTTCTACCAACAACCAAAGACGAAACCAAACTTAAAGTGGCTGCTGCGACACATCACAAAATCGCTGTCAAACGCGCGTGTTGCTCAACGGATGGCCACTTCCCATTCCTACAATAAATTGGTCAAAACAAACGCTGTCAAGGACCGAAAGAAGAATCCTAGCCCAACTTAGATTCGGCCACTGCATCATCCTTAAAAGCTAAAGATTCCAAATAGAAGAAAACGACAATTCCAAGTGTCCCTTCTGTTTATCACGTCCGGAGAATGTTTCTCATCTCTTTAGCTGCCGAACAAACCCAACATCGCTCAACACAATAGATCTGTGGCGAAATCCGGTTGCGGTCGCGGAATGGCTCAGACCCGGTCTGACCAAACAAGGAATGTAAGCAGAGGGGCAACAACAACATTGTGTCTATTAGCAGATATAATAGAATATATTAATAGTTGATGATGTTCAAAAATATTTTGTTGGTTGTGTACAATTTCATTTCAATATAGCTAAAATGTGATTAAAAACAAATTATAATCAATAACAGTTACATTTTTATGTCAACAAACAATTGAATTAAATAATTTAAAAAACATTTTAATGAAAAGAAATGATTAGATGTTCAACTTCATTGAATCAACTGATCAAATAAAGAAAACCAGTCAAACGTTTGTTATACCTTTGTTTGAAAAAACGTTCAAAATTAATGAGTCTGTTTTTAAGAACTGAATTACACTGGCTTTGTTTACCAATAGAACTCAATTATAACTAGCTCTAATTGTTAGAGATTGCCCCAGCGAATTTAAGAAAAATTTTAAATCCCGTACCGGGGGTAATAACTCAAGTTCAACTGAGATCTTCCTTCAATGCGGTTTTGTGCTTCTGCTGTTCAAATTTTCTGATTTATGTAGAAGAGTGTTTTCTGTAGTTTAGTTTATCAAAACGAACCTAATTTTGTATTGTTTTCATTTATAGACAGCCAGGCAGAACTAAAAAAATTTTTTTATATCTTTTATATGTTCTGGTATTTTGTAAATCAACAAGGCAAACATTGAAAAAACGTTGAAATATATTAAATCAGTTATTAGATTTATTACCATTAATCTTATTGTTAATATCATACTTATTATAATTAATATTATAATTAAAACTAAATATTATTTTTCAATACTTCTGACTAGTTGTCTATGTTAATTGATCTATTGATTCAATGCTTCTGAACGTCTGATCATTTCCAATATGTAACGTTTTTGTCTTTTAGTTTAGATAAAATTATAAGATAAGCTACAATGTCATTGAGTTTGAACTGTCCGAACATTATTTTCGTAGCTATTCATTATTCCCATTTGATAATGATTTTTTGGGTAAAAACGTTGAAAAATTTAACATTAATTCCTTACAAAACAAGAACAAAACACATTAACATAAACACTAAACTGGCCAGAACGTGATCTGAACAATTTTATTGATATTTCATATATTTACTTTTACATATAGGTCAGCATTGACATTTACTTGTATCATAGACACCTAGAATTAAGGACTGACGGCACTCATGCTCGGTATTTCAAGCTTGGGTTCGTTGCAAAACTTAGGTTTTTTTGCATAGAGGTCAAATCACTTCACAATGAAATTTAAAATTTGGTATAAACCATATACACATTCAACAAAGGTGTTTTATACAAATAAACTTCTGTTCATTAAAATATTTTATTAAAAAAACAAATTTATTTCGTAAATAACATCAAACTTTTACTGTCGTTTTTCAACAAAATCTCCTAAATTTGTTATAATCTGTTGCAATTTTGTTTATGTAACATATTGTATGCACATGAAACTATCACCATACTCTGCCTCCACCCCCAGTCTTAACAGTAATTATTATTTAATTAATTAATTAATATCTATTTAATTATTTGATTTATTTATATAACAAAAATCATGAAAATTACTGTCAAATGGCACTAAAATAGCTATGTTGTTCAAATTTGAAATTTTGTTTAAAGTGTGACAACTTTAGATTCATTTGAAAGTTTTTCCTGTAGTTGTAAACAACTAAACTCTTTCTTCTGATTGATTTTATCAAAGACATCAGCTTTTATCAAAAAAAGCCATTGTTTCTCAAGCTGTTCAGTCATTAGCATCTGGAGCATCGTTGCCTGGCATTACCAAAAACTTTTCTAAAGGATCTTGACCAAATGCTAAAGGCAGTACATACTGGAACTGATGATCAGAAAGAAGTATCTTAGCAGAAGCGATGTTGGATTTGGTTTTCGCTACAAATGCATCAGCTGTAAAATTTGTGAATTTGCATTGTCGTACATCAGGCCCATTATGACAGCTTACAATGACATCACACATGCCTGAGAGCTTCTGGAAGCTGTCCCACTGAAACTGTCATGGTGTTTTGGCGACGTCACAAAGTTTTACAGTATTGTACCGGTTTTTGATATGCATCATCTTAAACCACGTACAGTTTTTCTTTCAAGGTAAGTATTACAGGCTTTTTATGGAAATCTTGGCACACCAAAGGTACACTCTGGCACTGCAGGATTTAGGTATGTACTGATGTAGAAGTAAGTTTTATGAAACATACAGCTGTCACTATCTTCTTCGTACAGGGTTTCCACATCACACTTGTGTGCAACAAAACTCTGACCATCTTCAGTAAAATGTAGATCTTGTTTTGGCTCAGTGATCTCATTATTTTGAATGATTTTGAATACATGCACATCGTCATATAGAAGGAATATTTTAGTGACGTGGCCTGAAAGATTCAACAGTTCTGGGCTACCAAGGTTGTTTTACAATGATTGATTCATTGGACAACTTTCGCACACTATAGATAAAACAGTACAGAATAAAACAGAACATGACAGAACAAATCAGGATAAAACAAAGCAGAATAAAACAGAACAGTGATAAAACAGAGCAGAGAAAAAAGAACAAAAACAGAATAGAACAAGGATAAAACAAAACACTAATTTTTGAATTTATTTATTCTTCAGCACTTTCATTTATTTATTTGTAATATTAAACAGAAAAGCTGTCTTATTCTGTTCGGTTTTTTTTTATCCTGTTTTGTTTTTTGTTCTAATTTATCACTGAACCAATGGATAAATTATGACATTAAGGTTTAAAATTAAAAATTTTAGCTATTTTAAAGCCATGAACCCCAGTTTTGTTATGAACTCAAGTTTAAAATACTGAGCATTGTAACACTTCCAATATATTTCATATGCATAATAAATTGTATACACATAATTTTTATATATAACAATAAAATATAAATGCGTTTTTTTGTTAGGTTAGACTTAGACTGGAGATGTATAATAAGGCATAAAGAACTTTTAAAAAATAAATTTTATTTATTGGAAAGGATGTCCAATTTTACCTTACTAGTGTTAATTAATAATAGGTTATTTATAATTTAAGTTCATTCGGATCATGTCAGTCAGGCCACTAACTAAAGCAAGCTGCTAACTAACACTAACTAACACTAACAAACTTATATATACTCAGTATATCTGTTAGAACTTCGAAGTTATAAATATAAATAACTGAAATAACAGCGATAACCTCAAACTCCAAAACAAACAAACGTAGGCAAGCAAAGAGTCCTTAAAATTCCAAATTTAAGAATTCTATATTTTTTATCAGATGACGACTTTCAGTAAATAAAATAGAAATATTAAACGATCGTTTCAAGTTCCGTCGACGCGATCTTTAAACACTTCAGCTGAGACGAGAAAATATTTTAAACCACAAATAACTAAATAACTTGACCTACAAATTATGCACGAAGAGAGAGTAAAAAAGAGAGTAATATTGGAAGACGTGTTACATTAAAATCATTATCATGCACACGCACGCACTTGCACACACGCACACACACACACACACACACACACACACACACACACACATGCTCACACATATAAACATTTAAAAGTGTTAACAAGAAACTAACTAACGCGGAACATGTTGTGATTATCGTCAATAATTGCATTTCTTAATTTAATAATTATTTAAAAAAACACAAACTACAAGCAAATTCTTAGAAAACCTCAATGATCAACTGAAACACAAACTTAACAGGAAGCTATTTCTCTTATTATCTTACCTGATTCTAAAACTCTTGATGTCTCTCACAAGTTTCGTAGTCTAGGTTTTATCTTTGATTCTAGTATGTCTCTTTTTTCTCAGATTAATGGTGTCGCAAGAAGCTTTTACTTTCATCTACTGTGAATAAAAAAAACTTTTGTCTTTTTCTGATAATCCTACTCTTTTCCTTCTTGTTACTTCATTAGTTTTTTCTAGAATTGATTATTGTAACTCGCTCTACTGTGGTCTTCCTGATTCTATACTCTATCCTTTAAGTAAAGCTTTTAACTCTGCTGCTCGTCTCAATCTAAATTATTTCCAAAGTATTTTTCAGATATATTAATATATATATATTGAGCCTAAACGCCCTATATATATATATATATATATATATATATATATATATATATATATATATATATCCATGCTCGTGCCCATTTCTTTTTTCATATATCTCAATATTTTGCTCTCTTCTACTGGCTAACTAAAAAAATATAGAATAATTTTTAAAATCTGCCCATTAATGTACAAGTCTCAATTTAAACTATTTTACAAATACTCAACAGATATATTAATTGAATCTAAACGCCCCGGTCTTTTTGTTTTCAAATTTTCTTAACCAGTGTTAAATATTTTTTTGCTAAATTTGCGTTTGCTTTTTCTAGTCCTTTTTTGAAAGTTTCTACCTCCTTCTTTAACTACTTTTTCATCACTTGTAAAATTCAGAGCAGAACTCAAATTTGCAAAATTCACTAAAGAGGGCTGTTGAACATTGCAAAAAAAACACTTTACAAGCCAATTGATATATATATATATAAATATATTTATCTATCATTTGCGTGCCTTATCGTTTCAGGTCATTGGTGACCATCGATCTCCACAAAACCCAATTTTTAACATCTTGTAGTAGTTGAAATGTGCTGATATTCAACAAGTGTCACAAGGACTTCACGAATCTTTTTTCCCTGCAATATTTCCAGTAGTTGTTAGATTTTCCAGTCTTTTCTTCCGTATGATGTGACCAAAAAAACTGTAACTGACCCCGTCGGATTATCTGTAGTAATTTTTTTCTATTATAATCGGACTGTTTAAAATAAAACATAAAATAACATCAATAGTAATGTTTTTTAATAACTTCCTAATATCTAATATTTAAATTTAAAAATTAAAAAATTCTATTATTTAAAAAATAAAAAAATATATATATATATAATTATTGATGAAAATTACAGCAAGTTTGGTGTTAGTTAATTTCCTGTTTAACTTTTTGATTTTTCTAAAGGTGATCGTAAATCATTCTCAAATATGTATATATATAAGCTTGTATGGTCTCTTATATATATATAAGCTTGTATGGTCTCCAAGCTATTTTTTTGTGGTTAATAAAATTTGTAAAATAAAATAAATAAAAATAAATAAATAAATATATATATATAAATAAATAGCCTGGAGACCATACAAGCTTATTAAGCTATATAGGCCACCAAAAAGAAAAACAGACACAATTTAAAAAATTATCAAGCGCATATACGATGACATAATTTGTTCGTTCAACTGTTTGACACAAAAGCATAGCACACTGCACGTAAATTAAACGTTCGTAAAACAAAATGATAATGAAATGAACTAAAATTTGGTTCTTGTAATGTTATCTATAATGTGTAAGATCATACAACAAATTATAATTCAAACTAAAGCCAATAAATAAATACTAACATATATTCATGACATGCATTCAAAAAATAACAACAATATAATTAAAATGTTCAATCATATGATTTTGCCTAAACAAACAACAAATTGAATTCAAACTAAGTCCAAAAATAAATATCAACACACATTCAAGACATACATTATAGCATGACAGTTCCTCTATACAAAGGCAAAGGTGATCCATTGAACTGTTCATCATATCGGGGTATACGTCTGTTAGAACACTCCCTGAAAATTGTCGAGAAAATCATTGAGAGAAGATTAATGTCGTGCATAACAAACGGAAATTATCAATTTAGTTTCTTAGCGGGGAAATCAACAATTGATGCAATTCACATCCTTCGGCAACTGCAAGAGAAGTACCTCGCAAAGCATCAACAACTATCACACATTTTTGTAGACCTTGAAAAAGCATTTGATCGAGTTCCCCGTGAAGCAATCAGGTGGAGCCTACGTCAACAACTCATTCCAGAATATCTTGTTCGACTTGTGATGGAAATGTATACGAATACTAAGACATTCATCAGCCCAACGGTTGGAAACACAGATGCATTTGACATCGGCGTTGGAGTTCACCAAGGCTCGATTCTCAGTCCACTGTTATTTATAATTGTGATGGAAGAAATCACAAAACCAATACGCACTGGTGACATTTGGAATCTAGTATATGCTGATGATATCGTTTTAACAGCCACGTTTGAGCAGAATGCAGCACAGATGTTTGAAGATTGAAACACCAGACTCGCCGATCATGGATTCAAAGTCAACATCAGCAAAACCAAAGCAATGAACACTGGTGAACCCATCCAATCCACAGCTACTGGAAGATAACCCTGTTCAGTTTGTAAAGCTGGTGTAGGTAACAATTCAATCAAATGTTAGCAGTGTAATCAGTGGTATCACAAACGTTGTTCAAAAATAATTGGTTCTTTATCTAAAGTGTCCGATTTTGTTTGTCCTGCTTGCATCAATCCACAACAACAAATTCGAAATAGCACTGTTTTTGAAGCCATTAAAATAGAGAAAGTCACATCGTTTCAATATCTAGGGGATGTTCTGGATTGTACTGGAACAGCTGAAGCTGCCGTTCAAGCACGCATACGTGCAGCCTGGAATAAATGGCATCTCCTTGCCTCTATATTGATGCGGCGTGACATCCCACTACCACTACGATCAAGACTTTATAAATCTGTGATACGTCCGGTCTTGTTATATGGTGCAGAAACATGGCCAATGACAACCAAACTGGAACAACAACTTCAACGAACCGACATGAAAATGCTCCGATGGATGCAACGAATTAGTCTGAAGGACCACATCAAATCTACCAAAATCCTGTGTCGTGCTGGTTTAGATGATATAAAGGACGAATGCCGGCAACACCGTCTGCGGTGGTTTGGTCATGTCAAACGAAGTGGAAACAGTGCCATAACTTTTCTTGCAGATGTTGAAGTACCTGGCACACGTCCCAAAGGCCGTCCAATGAAGTCCTGGTCGCAAACAATCGAGCAAGACATGAAAGCTCTAAGTTTAAATGAAATGGATACAACTGATCGTCTAATTTGGCGCAAAAAGTTGATGGCAAAGAAAACAACGTCCTACCTCGGGAAACTGGGTCTCTGGACGCAAAACGAAGATTGATTCAATATTGACATTGACAAGATTGACATACATTCAAAAACCAACAGCAATAAACTCAAAAATGTTTATTCATATTATATCAGCATAATAAATTTGAAATAACAAAGATTATTTGGAAACGTATAATATTATTTTATTAGAAAAATCAGAAATGCTATTTAAAAATTTGAACTCTGAAGGTAATCTATTCCAAAGTGAAACCCCGGAGGAGAAAAATGATTTATAAATTACTAATCTAGGGTAAGGTTGGACATAATCATTCATTTGTCTTAAAAC